CCCCCGGCCCCCTCAGCAGCTTCCCATCCTCTGCTGGACTCTCTCCAGCAGCTCCTTGTCTCTCGTGAACTGAGGAGCCCAGGGCCAGACCAAATCCTCCAGATGTGGCCTCACCAGGGCAGAGTAGAGGGGCAGGAGGATACAAAGTCTCTGTAGCTTTTGACTGCAGAGATTTCTCAGGGTACCTGCTGGGAATCTGGACTGGGAATTGGTTCTCCTGCCAGGGAAACCCACTGGTGCACAGAGTCTTCAGCTGCTGCTGCTGGAGGGAGAGGCTCTGACATGTTCCTCTCCCTGAGCACGTGTCACAGTCAGGATTGGACTTGTGCAGCTGAGTACCAGGACTTGTGTCCTGGTGCTGCCGTGTTCCCAGGCTCTGAATGAGCTGTCTGGAGTGCTCGAGTGGTGCTGGGGACGAGCCCCAAATCAGATGCCCAGAATAACCCAGCTCCTAGCAGAGTGTGCAGTCCCAGGGCAGTTGTGCTGAGCCTGGGCTCGGTGCCAGGGCTGTGGCTGAAGCCAAGCTGGCTGGTCCTTGGGCTGCTGACTGAACGTGGTCTTGGCAATATAACCCTGGGAGGGGGGGAGAGGGGAGCAGAGAGTGTGGCTGGGGCCAAATTCAGCTCATAGCTGTGACACTGAAGCCTTTATCACCTCGCAGTGTTCCCGTGAGGCGTGTGGGGAACAGCTTTGAGGGGCCCTTCCCAGAAAGGGATGAACGTTCTGTACGAGCTGCTTCAGAACTGGAGTGATCCCACCTGCCCTCCAGTGAGAAATACCACGACAGGACTCAAGCCTGTTGAGGAGCCATCAAAAAACCCTGGGGCTGAGCACCTCAGCCACGTGCAGAGTGAGACAAGACACAGGTTTGGGTGGATCTTTCTGTTGTCGCTCGTAACCTTTATTTGGTCAGTGCTAGAAAGCATATACAATGAATTCCCTTTCCTCCCTCTGGTTGCCTTGAGACTTGTGGAGTGTTATGATTTTTCTTATTTCTTTTCATGTGAATTTTGCTTACATGAGGGATTATTGGTGGTTCTCTTGGTGTGAATAATCTATGCCAGCAAAAGGACTCTCTTGTTGTTGAAACCCTGTCTATAGAACTCGTGTTGGTCTTTCAGTGTTGGAAGATATCAAGGATTTTTTTTTTCCTACTCATCTGTTACAATTTCTTAGTGCAGAGAGAAAAGCTCTAGTGAAAACCTCAATTTCTCCCAGGTTCCTGCTTTCTCCATCTTGTGTAAGATGCAGCCTTGTGGGTACCACAGTACCAATAAAACAGGCTTTTGACTTTAGGAAAATACAAGAAATTTTAATGCAACAGACAGGAGAGAGGTCCAGCAGAGATGTGTTAACGTGTTAGTTTTATTTAAAGATGGTCTCTTGGTGCTAGAGTAAGAAATGTCTTTTTAAAAAAAAAAAAAAAAATCAAATAAATAAATAAATAAATAAATAGAAATAGGAAGAACTTTCTGCTGAAGAGCATGGAAAGCATCGTGGGAGGAATGGGTTCTGTAAAGCATTCTTCAGAGCAGGGTGTAAGGAGCTTGTCCTAATTCTTTCTGGAACCTGCAAGTCAAACATGAAGTGAGTGTTACTGGAATCTGGTTTTCTCTCAGTATAATCCCCAGCAGTACTTTCTCCTACCAAATTAATAAGACACGTTTCTTTTAGGAAATCACTAGTAGCTTAAATATTAGGGTAAAATGAATTCTTTTCTCAAACTCTGTCTCATTAAAGGAGAGCCTGTCCCCCCTCCCTTGCTGCACCACCCAGCCTGGGTGTGCCCTGCTCCGGGGGGTGCCAGGGGCAGGACTCACCATTGCAGCCCATGCCACTCAGGGAGCCAATCCTGTCGATTCTCCTCCCGAAGCAGCCAGAATCTCTCATCATCCTGGGCATCTGCAGCCCCCTCAGTCTCTTGAGGAAGGGGTCCCTGTAGGACAGAGGGGTGCTGGGTGCTAGCCTGGGGTCGGCCTTCTGCTCGTCGCTCTCATCGACGAGTTCTGCTGGAATCTCCTCCTGGGTTTTGGGATCTTGCAGGTCAGGATTGGACTCCAGGGCTTCAATCATTGCAAACTTATTCTCCAGTCTCTCCAGCAGAGCCTATAAGAGAAGGATTAATTTAATGAAACTTAATTTTGTGGTTATTTACCAGCTCTTCTGGTTATCCCATTCTGCATCCATCAGTGGTCCTACAGCCAGCCCTAGGGCGACTGCCAGGCTGGACCCCAGGGTTGCTGGTGGTACCTGAGCTCCATCCTCTGCAGTCACACGAATTCCTGTCATAATTCCCTCCCCTCTTCACATGAATTCCACTAATGAGTGACTCTAGCTCAGAGATGCATATAGCTCCTTGAAACCAAAGTCTGTTTTACTGGCAAGGTTGGAAGAGCTCTTGGCAGGGAAAAAAAGCAAGGTCTGAGTTGCACAGGGAGCTACTCCTCAACCCACCACAATCTCCAGGTATCTCTGAATCCACAGCCCACTCCTGATTCTCAGAAGGTGCTACTTGCCAGCAGTTCTTTCTCTTCTTTTCTTTTCTTTTGACTAAGACTATCTGCTTGCTTGTCACCCTTGGCTATTTCACTGGACATCACCTGAAGAAGCTGTTAGTGTTTTCAAGGTTGTTTCTCCTTAAAGTAACACTCATCTTCTTGGAAATCCCTGTTTGCTAGATTTATATCTGCTCTGTGACTTCTTCCTGGGCACCATTCTCTGTAATTCTTAAAGCTTTGTGCAACAAGGGTCAGAGAACCTTCTCAGAAGCTGCCAGCAGTGCTACTTGCCAGCAGTTCTCTTTCTCTTCTTTTCTTTTGACTAAGACTATCTGCTTGCTTGTCACCCTTGGCTATTTCACTGGACATCACCTGAAGAAGCTGTTAGTGTTTTCAAGGTTGCTTCTCCTTAAAGTAACACTCATCTTCTTGGAAATCCCTGTTTGCTAGATTTATATCTGCTCTGTGACTTCTTCCTGGGCACCATTCTCTGTAATTCTTAAAGCTTTGTGCAACAAGGGTCAGAGAACCTCCTCAAGGGCAGCTCAAACAATCAGAGGAACCTGATTGTCCATCTCTAGAAGTCTGCTTGTGGGGAGGTGTGAGCCTTATGGCTTGCTTGCCAGTGGCTGCATTTGGAAACAGCTCTTCTTGGCCAGCTGCTGGAAAGAGCCTGGAGGCGTGGGGCAGGTTTAGCTTTGGGTGACACTGTCCTAGTCATCGTAGGGAGCCTGTTCTCAGGGCTGGGTGCTGGGAGAAGCTGGTCGCTGGCTACCAGTCCAAGGACAGGTTTGAGCTTTCAGATTTCATCTTGCAAGACTCAGTCTGAAGGTTGTCCTGTGCTGCAGAAATGGATGTTCTCTATCCTGCATTCAAACACGCCCTGGGTAATTTGACAGCTCCAGAAGCTTTCCTGGAGGAGTCACACTGAATGATACTATTCCTCTAGCAGCTTTTCTGAAAGCATGACTTCGGGTGCTCCACTTCACCTCCTCATCCCCCATCCACTTGCAGCCATTTCTTTTAAAATCCCCTAAGCTGTCCTGCCTCACTTCTCCTGCCATTTAGTAGGATAAACAGGAAAGTTTTCTATTTGCTCTCATGGAGCTCCTGTGGTGACTTTTTCCCTCTCTGGGACTTTGCTCCCAGTGGATCTTTAAGAGAAAAAGAACCAAAAACCCAAAGCAGAGATCCCACAACAACATCAGAATTTTGTTTCCCTCTGCTACCCAGGCACTCAAGTGAACCCAGCACTGGAGGATATTGCTCTGTGGAGCTTCTCTGAACCCCTGTGAAGAGCTGAGACTTTATCCCCCAGCGTGTGCTCTCCAACGTGGCTATCCCATCACACAAAGGAAAGGCAAAACCACCGACTCACGCTCTGCTAAGAACCCCAAAAGTTTAACTTTTCAAAAGAAGAGAGTCCTCACCTCCATGCTGGCCAGTTCTTTGGCAGGGCTGAGGCTGTAGATAGGGTTGGCTCTGCTGGACTGGAGCTGGAGGAGCAGCAGCAAGAGGAAGCCACAGGAAAATGTGCCTTTAGTGTCCATGGCGCCGGCTGCGTTGGGAATAGGAAAGCTGCAGCTGATTCTTCTGAGATGTCTCTTCAGGTCTCTCTCTTCCTAGGTCTCTCTCTTCCTCGTTCTATCCTCTCCCTTCCAAAGCTTGTCTTTTATACTCTTGGGGTGTGATCTCTGCTTCCTAGGTTATCAGGGGGTTTATCTGGGGCACATTCCAGTCCCACTGCAGGCACGCAGCCCTGTCAAGGGAAGATTCCCTTTATTAGCTGTCATTAGGCAGCAGCCACTGCTGCTGAGGAATGTATGTCACAAGTCAGTGATTTCATGTCACTCCCCCTCCTCTTGATACCAGGAGCTGTGATTACACAGTCCAGTTGGAAATTCTTAGCAATTTTCTTTCAAGAGACCCCTATGGTCAGATTTACAGAGATGGGAAGCTGCTCTAAAGTCTGCTCAGTTAGAAGCTTTCCACAGGGAAATCATTTTTTACAGGGAAAACAATAGGCTTTTCAGCTGAGTATGTGGTGGAGAGTAAAGGCTGAAGATAAATCCACTTTTAGGACACCTAAAATGTTATGGACACTTGCCTTCTATTTATGGAATCTGCCCAGCCACCACATACCATGGGGTGTGCTGAAACTCCCAGGTTTGGGCCACTTCTCTTCTCCCAGTGCTGTTGAGGTGATACCACCGTGGAGACTTTATATGTTGCCAACAACAGAGGCACCCCAATCTGCACCTCAATACAGATGAGACCTTCCAGAGGGACTCCACAGGGACACCGAGTTCCTCCAGCCCCCCCTGACAACCGACTCCAGCACCACTGTGAATAGGAGTCATTATTAACAGCTAAAGGTTTAAATTCATGGGATTTCTTTAAAGGCTTGACCCTACATCAATAAAATTTAACCAAGAGTTGGTCACGTTCAGGAATAGTCTTTTTGGATTGTCATACAAGAGAAAACAACTTGCTGGATGAGGATTTTAGCTAGATGGCTTTTGCTCTTATTCAGCAAAGGTGGCAGAATCTGGCCCCAGGGAAGAACGATGGAATTTGGGTATATGTGTCTTTTGTGAAGGGTTAAAAGGAAACGTTTTGTTTAATAGATTAAAACCTAAAAGTATTTATTTATTTGTTTCTTTGAAAGCTGTCGTTTTCAAGGCTAGCTAAAACCTGCCTATGCTTAAGTAAGAAACTATTTGCTGTTTGCTGCAAACTCCTCTTCCAGCGTTGCCTTTGTGCATGTAGTGCAACTAAAAATGAATCTTTATTACAGGGGAGTTCTGAATTGTGAAGCATATTGCTCATCTGGCATTTTCCTAGTGTTTCTTGTTATTCTAAATTGAAACAAGAATGAATATATTGGTAAGTTGACTATGTCAGTCCAGCAATCATTTGCTGACTTTTAATACAAATATAGATCTTGAAAGAATCTCCTGACTACGGTTTCTAGATGACAATAGATGGATAAAATATTTCTCATGGCTTCAATGTCTTAACATGGTGTTTGTGTACAAACATGTGCACACACTGTTCACATGATCAGCTCCCAAAATTATACTAGAAAGGACATTCTCAAGGTTGTGAAGGCAAGTTCAAATGCTACTTTTTCCTAATATAGCCTGAAGTCAGCCCAACTCAGCATGTGTTTGGATAAAGCTCTTTATTCTAAGAGCACTATTTTCCCCAATTCTTTCTTTTTTCAGCACATGAAGGCATGCTTTTTTTTTTTAGTATTGTGTCCCAACACATTCTTATTTTGTCCAATTAAGAAAGAACTAAGATCCTGACAGCCTTTTAATTTCTTTTTAAATTAACACTCCATCCTGCAGTGTCTGTATAACTCACTAATTAAATACAAGTATTCTCTTGGGGGTGTGTTTGTTGGCGCCGGGGTCTAACTTCATTTTGTAAACTGAGAAAGTGTGAGAAGATAAATCAGAATTAGTCATTAATACTGAGTGTCTGATTTAAGATAACTAGGATCTGTTACTGGTTTATTTTTCTTTCCTTTCCCCCCCCCAGCCCTGAGCATTCTCTGGTGCTGTCTGTGCAAACTCATTCTGCTGCTTGATCTGCGTCTTGCCCGAGAGCTCAGGGCACAAACCCAGCAGCAAGGAGCTGAAACCCACAGAACTGGTCACAGGTATGAAACAATCTAATATTGCAGGACTGGATTCCCTAACCTGGGCCCAGAGATTCTCCTTTGTTCTGCTGGTTTGTTCCTTTTCCATCTTCTGTGTTGCACAGCAGGTAAATGAGAGGTAGGGGCTTGACTTCAGCCTTGACAACACTTTTTTTAAGATGGGGAGATTTCTGTGCTTCATTTCATGGACCTGTAGATGGAAAGATACAGATGGAATAAAATAGCTGACTGTCACAGCAGCTATTGTGTTTTCAAAGCCACGTCCTGCCCTCTATTATCCACCTCACAGTCCTGCCAAAGCAAATGGAGCGTGAAATGTCAGAACTCAGCTCCTCGTTGTTGAAGCTATAAAGCTCACTTGTTTGTTTGCTTGTGGTATCTCAGTATCATCACCCTGGTGAGATTAATATGAACCTTAGGTTTTATAGCTCAGCGAAGGCCAGTCCAGATCCAGGCATTGCCTGTGCTCAGCTGGCCATTTGGCTAGTAAAACCCCTGCTGGGAGTCTTAACCGAGCAGCAGGTGCTTACAAAAAGCATAGTGGGACTGGTTTTAGGGCTGGGAAATGAGCATGTTTCCCCAGCATCCCAGGGTAGGGGGTAGTAGGAGGTGTGTGGATATCAGGCTCCATTAGCAAGCAGCCCCGGCTGCCCAGAGCAGGGAGGGAGAGCACCAAGGGGGCTGCTGGCAGCCCCCTGCCAGGAGGAGGAGGAGGAGGGTACACGGACAGAGCCCAGCGGAGGGCGGCACTGCCCCTCCCCAGCGGGACGATGGGATGTCCTTGGTTTGCAGCCCTGTAAGGCGAAGGGCTGTGGGGCTGGTGTCATGTGGCTGCCTTCTGACGGGTCTGCTGCCCTCCCTGCTGCCCTCCCTG